CAGGGTATCAACTCTACCGGAACTGTGCTGGTGCATTGAAGTGCATGATATTGCTGGTTGCCCAGCTGCAGGCGATGCTTAGACCTTTGCCCAACAGACCAACCCACACCACACATTCGTCTACTCTGTCCCTTGCTCTCTCTCCCTCTCTCTCTCTCTCTCCACTGACTGCCATGCCGGTTGATGTTGCCATTTTGCGTTGACTTTGACAAGAACGCGACCATCATAGCCCATTATCGTGCGCCTCATCAGCAACCTCTGCAACAGCAACAACAACAGCGCCAGCAACAGCAACAGCAACAGCATCGTCTAACGCCAAAGTCATTAAACTCGCGCATCGCGTCGTCAGTTCCAAACGTCGACTAACGACTAATTTGCGCATATGACAGAGCAGCGACCGAGCCAGAGGCAGAGGCAACTCATTCTCGAATGTCATATGGTATATATGAATAGGGTATTGGGTAGAGTCTTGGGAGCTCTAGATTGAAACTGCGTGTGCGTGTGTGTGTGTCAACGATGTTGCTGTGCATTGCGGAAAACATCTCTCTTGACTCTGGGATTACGTTGTGCGTCTGTTTCCCAGTCTAGCAAACATTTTTATGCCCACTCCATAAGGCTTTAAGCGGTCATAAGCGTCGGCTAGGCCTGTCAGACACTTATGCGTTTTAAATGATAAGAAATTGCAGGTCCACTGAGTGCCGCACAGCCAAGGCAAAATACAGTAACGAAAAAAATGAAAACACACAATAGCAACGTTAATTCAAATACAAAATTGTGCAGTTTAGAGGCAATCGGTACACGCGACGTATGCGCAACGCCCGAGGCGTTGGCCAAACAAATCACGCCACTTACATCCATGTAATTCATAATTAAGGCATAAGGCCCACGCCCATTGAAGCCAACACATTTTGTTAGTTTAATAGTAATTGGTAGCACACGCAACGGTAAATCAAAGTCGAACAGGTGGCAAAACTACTGCGAAAAGTGCAGTGCACTGCCTTTGTGCCTGACAGGTACAAAGAGCACTTAATTGCTGTGAAATCGCGCGTTAACCCATACTATTATAATATATATGTATATATGCTTATACGATGATGGCACTGGCATGCCGCATATATCGCATATCAAATATTTACGCACCTGAAGACCTACTGTCTATCAGCTGCTCTTCAACACAGACTATCAAGACTTAAGGATGTAAAAAAAAAGTCGATGGACAAAAGTAGAAGCTAAGCTACTCTATTTTGAAATCAATATTTGTTTAATTTCATATTTTTTTAAGTAATTTCGAAGAAAACTAAATAATAAGCTATGAACAGCCTTAACATTGGTGAATTCTCTATATATTTCTGATTTTTACAGAGCTCTATAAACATTAAAAGGCCACCTGATATGCATTTAAATAAGATTCAGGTCTTGGGTTGCTTCAAAACTTAAAGAAAACTGTATATAAATTAGACCCTTGTCTCTTCATATTATTGACAAACAGCATATTCAATTTCAAATGCCTCACTGCGGGGTGTTCAAGTGTTTATGCGCGCACAATATGCCGCGCCAGGCCAAGTGCCATGAATAACGGGCGCTGTGCAAATGGTGCTCGCTGTGCACCTTGGGGGCAGTCTAATTAAACACGACACTGAAAATGTGTCCTCCGCTGTCATTGACACGTGTGCACAGCAGCAACTGCGAGAGCAACGCTAACAACAGCAACAACAATAATAATAATAAAACTGAAGCCGGTGTCCAGCCGGATATGCAGCAGCCGATAGGCCGTTAATACACAGCACACACACACACACGCACAGGGAGAGACAGAAGCTGGGTCTGCTGATTTTCCGTTTACCAACAGTTGCCGGAATGCCCATACAAAGCATACACACACACAGACACACATGCAGTCACCATACACAGCTGCAGAGATTCACGCACGTGATTTATGTGCGTGGGCGCGCATTTTAACGCGGCGACAGACGAGGTGCAAGAGCAGAGTTTCGGGTGCTCTGGGCAGCCCAGCAAATGTCCGCTGCACAAAGCTAAAAGCTGGCGAACTGTGCTGCCAACAAAATCGAGCACAATCGGGTATGCATAGCCAGGAGATGTTCTACACCTAAATAAGACAAACTGTAAGCGGTATAACAAACACAGATAGAAGAGCTCCATGAATATTGATTGATGGCAATTAGTATTATAGAAGCTAGAGATAAACTTGTTCCTGAGTCAACTCTAACTGTTCATTCTCATTCATCTACAGATGTAGTTCACACAACAGTCAATCTACCCCATTGCAGCCAACTCATAATGGGTATAGGGTATAAAAATCCTTGCCAACTTTATTGGAATTCGCATATTTTACGTGCGCAGGCGACTCCATGCTGGTCAATTCAATCAGGATATAATTTTATGCGTTACTTAAACACGCAGGATATGTTAATATTGCGGCAGTGGCCCACTGGCCAGGACAGCAACAATTACAACAGCAGCAGCAGCAGCAACAACAACAACAACAACAACAGATATAAAACTTTACTGTATGCATGAAATAACAGCATAGCTGATGTGGATAAATAACAGTGAGAGTGCATATATGTGTGTGTACGTGAGAGTGTGTGTACGTGAGTGTGTGTGTTTGTTTGTGTTTTTCATGATTAATTAATTGTATTTAAAGCATAATTGCCTCTAGCTTTCATTTGATTAAATTTCCGTGCGACATAATCAGCAGGTCAATTGGCTTTCTACCTTTTTTAAGCCAGCTGCAAATGTCCCATTGGCCCATTGTACATTTCAATTAATAACGGCCCATTGTGCGCTGCCCCGCGCGCGACTGTATGCAATGGAAGACTTAAAGAGCCGCTTAATTAGTAAATATTATTTGTACCAATGTTCAATTTATAATCATTAGCTAGAGCAGCGATAAATTTAATAATTGTTGTCAATTCACTGATCCGAGCCTCTAATTATTCAACATGCTGTTCGCGTGTGACGGCATTAGATAAGCTAAGCACAGCTCTGAGCACAGGTGCTATAAAAGGGCTTTGACCGAAGACTCAAGAGTTATTCTTTTGTTTTTTTCCTTGGCAAACATAAAATGAAATTTATTAATCCATTGCTCGTGCTGATCTTGGCTATTCTCAGCGGCTGTGGCTGCAAGGTATGTCTATACGCAATTTAAGCTCTGCATCTAATCAGGAAACTTCGTCAGCGTATGTGGGAGCACGAGCTGTTAGACGCCTGTGTATACAGCTCTGATGAAAGCAAACTCAAACTGAATCTATATGTGAACCGAGTGGGTCGCGACCTTGTTGGATTCTCGGGCACCGTGGATTGGAATTACGATGCGGACAATGAAACGATGGTAGGATATCATCAAATCAGAACTCCATTGAAAATTAAATACATATCATATCATAACATTGCAAACATATCAGTTTGAAATGGGTTTGTACCGCAGTTCCAACGGCAACGACTACCGTCCCATGCCTTTTTCGATTTCAAAGAAATACTTTAAGGATTTCAAGAGCTTATACGACGATATCATTTATATCAACTTGGTAGATTGCTCAAATGTGCCCAAAATCGAAGGCGACTATTTGATACCATGGCCCAGGAACTTGTACACGTTTAACAATTGTAATTTCCACAAAGGTGTTCTACCGGAAGTTGTAGCTGAAGGCATGTACAAGACTGTGTTTTCATTTTTCGGCGAGGTTGACTGGAATGTGACTTTTGTTTTTTATGTAAAAACCAAGCTTTTCTGAGCCAAGTCCTTATGGAAATTCATGGATAATGTATGAATTTTATTGACTGGTTGCTTAAATTATATTCAAAACAAAATAAATAAAGAAAAAAAAAATAATAAACTATGAATCACTGTTAACCATACATACAACTAAGTTTTTTAGTCAATGGCAGAGAAAAAGCATATTGGGCTCAACACCAAAGTCTAAACTGTAAGGGCAGGGAGCTGAAGCTTCATTAAATTATAGATCTGAATATTTGTGATTATATTTCCATTCTTCACAGCGCCTCACTCCAGAATTGCTACACACAGCGTTATACAGCGATGTCTAAATTATATGTATATATTTTTGTTTATTTATTTAATTTAACTCATAATACTTTCAAAGATATATAATCTGACAGAGATCTGCAAACGAGCTTAAACGAGCTACCGTTATATGTATAAACTACAGCAAAATAAAGCCCATATCAATTAAATAGTTGTTCTTGTTTCGATAAGTGCGCCTGATAACGAAACATGTTTTTGGCGTGTAAAAGCTGATTATTATGTAGACTGGGAAGAGCCATACTGAAAAAGTCCTATTGAAGTGTCGCTGTATAGTGTATAATACAAATTTGTAAGTGGTTTCTGTTCTTAGCAATCCTTACGTGTTCTGAAGACAAGGAATGTTTATAGAGAACAGAAAAATGTTTGTTTTTAGGTAATTGGAATACTCGTTTTGCGAAATTGCATACACGAAATACTAGACTTAAATCGATTCATCGAGAATGAGACCCAATTTAAGGACATTTCCAGAAAAACAATATACCCTGATTTTTCGTTTTCAATGAGTTCAAAAAGTCAAATTTATATCTATACAAAAATGATGGAAATGTTTTTGTTAATATTATGATCCCTAATTATATATCATGTCGTTGACGTTTGTGTGCATTTTATGTTATGGTGTCATAATAGTTGAGATAATCTACATAGCACAGGTGCTATAAAACGGTTGTGCACAAACAGATTGCACATCAGTTTTTTATTCACGTTCTTCGGCAAAATGATCTTGTGTAATCTTTTGCTACTTCTAACCATTTTTGTGTATTGTGAGTGTAAGGTATGTCTAGGACATCCAAATAAATAAACTAATTCAAAGCCCTAATCTGAATATCCTTTTCAGCGTTATTGGACTTATGATATTCTAGGACATTTTACCGAAACCGAAGATGAGACTAAAATGAAATTTGATATACGTGTTGAGAGAAAGAGTCGAGACCAAATGGGTATAACGGGCACCATGGACGTCCAATACGATTTGGACAATACAACTATGGTAAGATGTCTTTTAAAGTATGCTCTATTGCATAGATATAATGAAAATATATTTAATAAGTTTGAGGTGCAGATCCTGCGCAGTGTCAGCGGCGCCGAAGACGACTTCAGACCACTTCCCATGGCCGTACCGAAACAACGTATCATAGATTTAAAGAAGCTTTATGATGACATTGTATATCCTGTTATGAAAGATTGCTCCAATATGCCGAAAATCGAGGGAGATAAATTATTGCCATGGCCGAAGAGAATTTACACGTTTAACATGTGCAATTTCGACAACGGAAATTTACCGGAAATAATGGCCGAGGGCTACTATAAGGTCAAATGTATCTGTGAAGGCGAGGTCAGATGGAGCGTTATCTATTTCTTACAGATCAAAACACAGCTGATCTATTAAATTGTTTTTTTAACACGTTGACAAACCAATTTGTTAATAACATCGTCCATGGATATTCTTAAGTCAAAATTGTTCAGTCTTGTGTATATTTTTAGCATTGGTATTACATAGATATAACTAAAGTAAACTGGCTAGCACAATTCTATATAAAGTGCTCTACATGAACTAAAAATAGTCAATATAATTTTTTATACATTAAAATTCTATTGGCTGCTGCTTGGACATCCGTGAGGCTTATGACGGCAAATAATCTATCATCATATAATCTATCTATCCTCTACAAGACTGTTCTAATTTTTCAGTTTCAACGTGGAAATTCGACTGACAGAAGCTGAAGCAAATATATGCAATGGGGCAGTTCGGAAAGGAGACAAATCACAGCCGCATCATAAAAATCAATCGTCATCGTCATTCTGCAGGTATGTCCAAGTCTTGACCACTTTTACTTGTCGTGCTAGGCATTTATCGAAATTCGATTCATACAATGGCTGTTTGATTAATTTCGCAGCTAATTTGGTTAATTAAATTTAGATATTTCCGCTACATGACGCGCCCAACCTGATGCTTATATTATTAATATGCAGACTATACATACATATATATTTCTTTGCTGTTGTTTTCACGCCTCGCAGCTGACGTGCCAAAGTTTCCAGCTACTCTCTGCACCAGAGATATAAGTATCTTTATATATATATATATAATATAATCGATGGCAGACAACAACTTTTTTTCGTCTTTTGCCTGAGTTGTGTTTCGGGCGAAAACATTTTTGGCCAAGTTGTGAAACAAAATGCGTAAATCTCTTTAGTTGGCTCATAATTATGACATTAAGCGGCGATGCGTCTTGAATTTTAATTGGCATGCCGTCAGGGGCTATATTGTATATATTATTATTGTTGTTGTTTTATGTTTATTAATAAATAATTCTTGAACAGAGCTAGCGGTCATGCCATAGAACGCTTTATGGCTGTGATACACATGTTCTGTGCCAGCTCCCCCCTCCATAGCAAAAATGGCCAGAAACCGTTAACAACAAATGGCCTGTTGATTGCCGAAGCCAGCGAGATCCAGAGCCAAAGACAGAGACCGAAGTAGCATTTAATTAAACTTATTCAAAAAAGAAACAAAATCACACACACACACAGAACTTTGATCAATATAATGGAGCACGACTGTGGAGAGGGGGGCTGGCGCTTAAAGAACAGCTATTCAAACGAATTCCAAAGAATTTCTAATTCGTTTCTTTCAGCTGAGTTTGTTTTGATTATTATCAGATTACGAATTCTGATTATTCATAAGCACGTTAAAGAAACTTCTTTTAAATAATTCTTATTACAGGTGAACATTTTAGGAAAATCTCTTTTCAATAGCATTTAGTTTGGGCATCTTCCAGCTGGCAACAATATCACAGCTGCTTTATCACTATCCTTTTAGTTGTGGATCTGCAGCCGTTGAATCGTTGTCTTCATTACGCAGCGTTGACCCGAATTGCTCTCGCATCTCAATTGAGAGTTGCATAAAACTAAATGAGGCTCGAATGAGTTTTATGGCAAGTAAAAACCAATTCGATTGCCACTTTTGGCAAACAAAAACTTTAAATGCCAGCAACAACAAGGTTTTTTTTTGTTGTTGTTTATTTGTTGTTGAACCAGGTGTGTCTCTTTCTTTTATGACATTTGTTTACACTGGAAACTAAATTAAAGCGTCATGAAAATGCGATAATTTTTGCTGCTGCTCTTCAGTGTCATTGCCATTGTTGCTGTTGTACAATCGAAAGTGTTTGTGTGCATTAGATAAGCACTTTGAGTGCCCTTCGCACGCCTGAACTTTCGCGTGGTTAGTGACGTATAAATTTATTTAGTTGCCGCATAAAAGTTGACTTATTCCATTGTTGTCGGCAATAAATGTAATGTTTGATAATAAGCGACAACAGCAGCAGCAGCAGCAGCAGCAACAGCAACAACTTCATTTGCAATTTCCGTGCGATTGTCTTCGAGCTGTGTGTAGCTGTCTGTTGCTGTTGGCATTGCAACATTTTGCCTCTGATATCTATCAGCAGCAACAGCAGCAACAGCAGCAACAACACCGACAACAACTGAATAAAGTTATTAGCGCATTTAACTGAGCCAACGGCTGTGATTGCTCCTCCTGCCTTCTGCCGTCTGCGAACCACTTCACTCTCTGGCAGCATCCTCAGTGTTCGTTCGTTATGCGAACACTTGCACATAGCACATCGCATTGTTCGTCTGGCCAGCAGCGAATGCAATTTCCATTTTAATTACTTCCAAATGACAACAGCAACAACTAAAACAACTACAACAACAACAACTGCAGCCTGCTGAGAGTCTGAGCCGTTGGGCAGACATTTGGCAGACAAACAGCAACAATAATTGCTGGCGGTGGCGCATGCGCCGTAACAGCAGCAACAGCAGAAACAACAACAACAATTGAAATAGAGGCAAAAATTAGTCACACAATTCAAGACTTGTTAAAAATGCCAGCACACACACACAAGCGGTTGACATAAAGAGTTTGTCTAGTTAAATATTTAACCAGAATTTGGAACATTGAAAGAGGGCTTGTTGAGAAGAGAAATATATGAAGAGGATGTATTTAGGTAAAGTGGGTTGGTAAATGTATAGATAACTAGAGTAAGAGAAAGAGAAAGAGGGAGAGAGAGGAAGAGAGCGAGAGAGAGAAAAGAGAGAGAAGCATGTAGATAATGTACCATGTAGATTATTTCATAGTCTTATCATCCAACTGTTCCATGCTGTTATTTCACTTAGAAAATCTCTATAACTAACTCCAAGATCAAAACCAGCTTGTAGAGAATTCTTGATTTATAGTCAGTTTAAATCAACATTAAATCCCATCAATTATTTGAGCTAAAACCTCATAAGAAATTAAGCAAAAATGTTAAATCATATATATTGTACATCTGCACACATTTACAAACTATTGTGACAGCCCTCGCTGTTATAGAAATCTTCACACTATGCGCGTTGCTGCTAATAAAAATGCGAATTAAAATTCGTGTTGCTGCTGCTGTTGTTGTTGTTGTTGTTGCTGCAATTGTATATCGTTTTCGTTGTCGTTGCTGCTGCTGTTGTTGTTGTTGTAGTTGTTGTTGCTGGTGACACTTGCCGTTTGCCGTTGTTCGCGTTGTTCGCATTGTTGTTGCTGCCTTTGTTGTTGCTGTTTCTTTATTTGTGCATTTTCTGCATAAATATTTCAACACTTTCGCTTTTGTTTTGTGTCACACAGCAAAAAAATAAAAATTGGTTTTAATTATTCCCAACGCAGAGCGCCGCAGTCTGGCCCACCTCGCAGCACACCTGGCCCCTACCTGTGCCTGCGACGTCCTCTGCACAGGTTGCTGTGCATTTTAATTGCATTTCTTTTTTCTGCCTTTTTTTTAGCTTTTGCTTTTTGTTTTGTTCATTTAATTTCTGTATGTGCTGCATCTAATTTGTTGTCATCGCGTAGCTCTTGTTGTTGCTGTTGTTGTTCTTGTTGCTGTTGTAATTTTGTAATATTTCTTTTGCTGTTTGCTTTTATTGTTTTCTTGTTTGTTTTGATTTTCCTTTTGATTTCAGCTACTCTTGTTTTTACCTCTCTTACAATTTCTTCCCACGCACCTTGTGGCGTGTGTCTGCTTCTGTCATTGTTGTTGTTGTTGCTGTTGTGGTTTTTGCTGCTGCTGCAGTTGTTTGCGTAATTGTTATAAAAAAAAAAAAAAAAGAAACCACAAGCATAGGAAGGCAACAACAAATCAGGTAAAATAATAAAAATGATGTTAATTTCGTCATTGCGATCGCCGCTGTTTGCTTGCGAATTGATTAGCACGATCTGATTTGTATTCGACACTGAAATACGCATGAGGCTTATTAGTATTTTTAATGGTCATGGGCTTGTTAGAGAGCTCCTTGGAAGCAAGTGAGCTCAACAGTAATTCAAACGAGTCACACTCTATTTATTTAGATTATTTGTTTGTATTGTTATTACTATTATGTTATCACCAAGCATTTTGAGTGTTGAATTTCACTTTTCGTAGAAGGAGTTGGAACTATCAGAAAAACTAAAAATCATTTTTACACAGATTTGAGATTTTATTTATATTTATATCATTTTTTATATATTTTCTGTATTACAAATATTTTTTATAATATTCCCTTTATGAATTCATTCATTTTTCACTTTAAAATGTGTGAAATCAATTTTGAGTATATGCAATAATTTTTATTTTTTAAATATTAAAATGAAATTAATAATAAAAATATTTTTTTTTTTTTTTAAATTTATTTTTTGTTTTTTTTTACGTTCATTTTTTTCTAAGAATTCTTAAAAAATTGGCTGACATATATGTATATTTAATATATGACACTTATGTATACAATATAATATATAATGACATTTTATAGAGTATTTCAAGTTCGTTAACAATTTTAAATTTTATTCCTAAGTTTTTTTTTTTCATATAAAATTTCGTCTGATTTTCGCACTTAATTTCTGTTGTCTGTTGCGTCTGTGCAATTCTGCTGACCCGATTTCGCATAGATTTCCACATCTTCGTTGACTCTTAGGGTCGTGTTTGTAATTTATGAATGCCTTTGAAAGTGGTGGGCGCACGCTGTTGCTGCATATTCATATGAATACATTTAAACTTATATAGAGACACATACATATATATATACAACGATATGCATACATATATGGCTTGAAAGACTCATTTATTTTGGCTTTAGTTGTTTGCTTAGCTTCTGAGCCTTTGTTTTGGATATGTAGCCTAAGCCGCTTATGGCACTCAAATGTGGCTATAATGGCTAGCAATTATGTTTGCCGTTTAAAACAATATTCCAGTAAATTAGCACGGCAAAAGATCAATCACAAAATGTTGCCTGAATTTGGACTTGACGCTGATTGCGTAAACGCCAAATAATAATGAATATGCAAAATATATATATAGACTTTTGTGTACACAAGAAAATGTTATTAGTCAG